GGGGTCTGGATCCCTTTGCTCATTAGTCCTCCTTCTCTGCATCTGGATTTCAGTTCAAGGTCTGCTTAGTTTTCAAGGACATTGGAACCTCTTCTAGAAGTCTGAGAGTGTTTCCATCAACATTTGGTGATTTCTGTATAGTGTGACTATGAATTGTTGCTTATTATTTTTTAAGGCACACCAAAAGGAATGCTCACAGCTGTTTCTAAAGCATGGGGAGTCCAGTTTAGTCTCCACCTTTTTTTTTTTTTACTGCCCCAACTCCTGAGCCTCTGAAGATCTCAAAAAAGTTTGGGGGTAATTTTAGGATCATAAACCTTTTACCATAGTTTTTTTTGTTGTTGTTGTTTCTAATTCATATTTGGCATCATCAATGAACTACCTGTAAGATCGTCTACTTTAGAAACATTGAACTGTGCTCTCTTGTGTAGCTTCAGTGGACAAAATTGTTCATGTGGTATGTGGGTTGGCCTGTTGCTGATTGTGGCTAAACAGCTTCATGTGATGAAACAGCTACTTATCTGATTTTCGAACAGATGCTAGTGGTATGTGGGTTGGCCTGTTGCTGATTGTGGCTAAGCAGCTTCATGTGATGAAACAGCTACTTATCTGATTTTCGAACAGATGCTAAAGGGTCTTGTCTTTGTCCTTCAGTGTGACAGTTCAGCCACCACAGTGTCCAGAAATGCTCAGGATAAGCTGAGCTGATAATCCTTTGTTATTTATTGCTAGATAACAATACCCCAAACTTGCAGTTTTTTAGTCAGGGAGGTAAGGCATGTTCCATAAGATTTCATTAAAAGGAACTAGAAGATTTTGGAAATTTCCTCAGAACCAAGACATTTCTAACCCCAGTTCCCTTCCTCCCACCCAAGTTCAGGGAGTTCTCTTTGGGGGTGCTGCTCAGTGGCAGAGTATTTAAGAGGCAGGCCAGAGGAGAGAGAAGCCCAGTCCAGCATTACAACAAAGAAAAGGGAAAGCAATTCTCTCAAATCTCCTTTTCACACTGGTAGGAACTTCCTTCAATTTCCAGGAAGGAGTAACCTCCAGGAAAGAGAAGACAAGACATTGGCGCTTTCTTCTGAGGGCAGCTCTGAGAGATTACCTATACAGGGCAGCCTTGGTCCTGCCTTCCCATAGTCTTTGCACAGGCTATCATATGTCTATACCAACCTGTTTGCCAAGAAAATCACTTAGAAACTATTGTATGAGCTCTGGGCCTATCCAATTTCCTCTAACGCTCATTACAACCTCTCCAGATCACCCAGGTGCTCCTCACCTCCTTCAATAGGAGGCAGGGCATCACAGCATCTGCTCTCACTGAGTTCGTTGATATTCACCTTTTTATGATGCCCAATGAATTGCCATAAAATCATATTCCTTCCTCCTCTTGGGCTGTTGACAGTCCGTTCACTTCATTTGTCCTACAGATTGTGAAAGGGAAATTTCCTACCTGACCTGTCCCTCTACCACACAACGGTCACTACCTGATACTGTTTCTCTTGCTTCTGTCCTAGTTTAAGCTCATAAACTGTGTTATTAAAACAGTGAAGTGTACTGTCGGTGTGGTATCATTATTGAGAAGACACAGTTGTAAATTTGCTGCATGGTAAAATTGTGTCATCTACTGGCCTAACCAGTTGTAAATATTGTAACCAGTGACTGGCAGTTCTACTATGGAGAGCTAACATTTAGTGAGCACTTCCAGTGACAGGTGCTGTGCTAAACATCTTACATATTTTTTTTTCAGCGGAGTCTACCAGGGTGGTAATTCTCAGAGTGTGGGCAAGATTCTTCTAGAAGCATTACAGTTTTTAGACACATAATTAATACCATAATTATCTTGAGTTTTGATTAGTCATGATAATTGACTTCTTTTAGAATAGATATTGGACCCTCCCTCAAAAGCACATTTTAAAGGTATTGAAAAAGCAGCATTTTTGAGGGAAAGCAAAAAACAAAGCCCAATACATAACTATAATACAAAGACTAATGAGACAAATACCATAGAAGATGTCTGATCAAAAGGTCTTAGCTGACTTGAGAAGGGCAGGGTGATAGCTAGGAAAAACATCTTAATAAGAGAGACAGTAGTTCCTGCAGTTGGTAGCCTTTTTCTGATGGGAAAAATCCACAGGGGAGCACAATGACACAGGAGGAAACTGAACATATGAAGACAGGGAAGAAATGCGGTTGGTTTGCTATGTGGGGATCAGGCTGGTGATATGGAGGAAAGGTGAAGGAGAAGGCCTCTGGAGGCGTAGACTGAGGTCCCCCCAGCAGCACAAGGAAGGGCTGAGAAGTAATTTGATGAACAGCATGAACATCCAAGCTTTTGAATGGCAGGGTGAAGACAGCCACAAAGGAAGGAGAACTTGCAGGGGTGTTCAGGAGGCCCAGATGCATCATGAGACCGATTTGGATAAAAGCAGTTAGGCTATTAGGATGATCCAGATGAGATCTAATGAGGATCAGAGTGAGGTTGTGGCCTTGGTAACCGGAAGCTGGGCGAGCATAAGACGCCCACACTGAAGAGCTTCCAGTAATCAATGCATGGCATGGAAAAATCTGGAAAGCTGTGAAAACTCTCAGATCTGTTTAATTCAGCAGGGTATTCCCCACTTCCAATCCAGGGAAACACTTTTCCTCCTCGCTTCCTTGTAATGGAAGTCGGGGCAGTTTTCCTCAGAAGAATGTAATAGGAATTTGACTTTGAAAAAAAGAATCCCAAAGATGATTTTAGTTTATTTCTCTGGGGATTATGAGAATGGCCAAGTGTGTGAAGTCCAAGTTTAAACGAATGCTCTGGCCACAAAAGGCCTTTATGAGGTGCATGTGTGTGGCATATATACTAGACAGCTGAGCTATATTTAACTTTCCAAAGAAAACCATGCATAAGAAGCAACGGTCCTGGCAAGACAGCTCCTTTGTGGACATATTACAATTGTCTTTGAGCTTCCAGAATGGGCAGAGCGAGAAGTCAAAGCATCTGATGATACCTACAACACAATTAACTCATTACAGTTATGTTTTTAATTAAGTTATATTCACTTTCCTTTCTAATTCCTCCAATACACTAAACATTCCATGCTTTGTGGGGTCAATCGTTTAACACTGACAAGCTTCTTGTGAGTCTCCTGCCTCAACCTCCTAAGCACTTAGGATCATAAATCTCTCATAAGTCACTCTCCCTCTCTCTCTCCCTCCCCCTCCTCTCCCTTTTCTCTCTCTCCCTCACTCCCTGTCTCTCCTCTCCCTCTTTCTCTCTCTTCCTCCCTCCCTCTCTCTCTCCCTCTCCACTCGGTCCCCTCATAAACTCAAGTGCACATTAAGATCCATTTCCAGAACAGAACCTCCAGTCCTCGCTTTCCTTCCCTGTGCGCTGTGTGCCTCTCTCTCTGTCCCGTGTCTCAGTACCTCTACCATGTTCTTACTTTTTGTCCACTAGTGAGAACTCAGGAATTTTCTAGAAAAACTCCCTATCTTTCCTCATGAACCCCAGCCTCCACGTTCCAGCTATTTTTACAGTCTAGATCTGCTGGACTGTGTGACTGTTTTCTAATTTCTGCTGTTACCTTCATGATCTCTGACAACCTTCCAATTTTTTTTTTATAGCAGATATGCAACTAATATACACACCTGAACTCCCCATGGAAGCTGCTTGGTTATTATAGGAAAGCAATGTGAGAGTCCTCCAGTCTCGTTTCATGCTTTGTATTCAAGCATCATGATGAGTAAATGTGATTGGACTTAGTGGCCAGATGAGAGGGGACAGGAAAGAAGTTTGCAAGGCAGCTAGCCTGGTGTAGGGTTCCTTTCAATCAAGGTGGAAGTAGAGGACTGGTGCCCAAGGTTGTCTTCTGACCTCCACACACCCACCATGGCATGTGCACACCTGACCCCCTCTGCTTCTTCATCTTATACACACAGAGGTGGGGGAGGGAGAGAGAGACGGAGGGAGAGAGGAAGGGAAAGAGAGACAGACAGAATGACAAGAGATTCTAAACAAATCTCATGGCCCATGTTAGCGTGGCCCTATTCCAACAGAGGATTATGGAAATACTGTTCTTAGCTAAACGAAAACAAGATCCTAAGACAAATCTCAGGATACATGAAGTTTACATTTCAAGAACCGTCTGCTGCGTGCTTTGCTAACCACCCGCTCCATTCTGAGATTGCAGCAGGCCCCACGAAAGTGACAGCCAGCCTGTGATGAGCTTGAGGCAGCAGGGGTAGGCTGTGCTCCATCTTTTCTCATGTGTTTCAAATACCTTTTCTGTCCTAGAGATATTCCGTGAAGTATACGGTTGTCTTGGTTATTTTTAGAACCATTGTTGCTGGCAGTAAAAGCCCATATTAAATAAGCTGACGCCTACTGCCTGTGGTAAAGACACTGCGGAACAGAGTGGGCTGCATTCAGAACACAGCAGAGAGGTATGGTTGGATCGTGGCCAGATGGCTTTGCATGTAAAGACGGTCCAATGAGATAGGATCTGTTTCTTGTTCAAATTTTTTACATCTGGCTCTCTCAGTGGACTTTTTCCCCTTGTTTTATTTTCGAATGGAATATGTTTGTAAATTGACCCTTTGGAATTCACTTTTCTTCTTCCTTTTTTTTTTTAAGCTGCTACCAGTAAAAGGATAACAGTGCTGTATCAAAAGCTGTCTGCTTTGTTCATTACTGAGCACCCTTGCTCTCAAACTTCCTTTAAATCATCATGGCCATGCAGCTGACACGAATGACCCTCCTTCTCCGTCCTGCAGAGCATGTATATCTTAGCTGAGACTAATGGGGCATGGGGGTGAAGTCAGTTGAGCTTGCAGAACAGATATCAAGTTATCAAGTGCCCTTGTTTATTCTCACTGGCTGGTCTCATAGATCCCCCCCCCCGGGTGCGTGTGTGTGCGGGTGTGTGTGTGGGGGTGTGTGTGTGTGTGTGTCAAAACAGACCTGAACCTGCAGGGGAACAGAAGAAGAGCTTAGTGACAGCATCAGGGAACAAAGGAAGAGTGAAAAGATCTATGTCATCAGTTATCAGACTTCACAGTTCAGGAAGTTGAGACACTCAAACCTTCTGTCTGCTCCCTATAGCAAGGAAGGCTCACAGCCCAGAAGAGCTGTCCCTACTCCTCACTCCTTGTAGGAGAGGAGCAGAGGCTGCCAGTTATTCAAAGGTGAGTTAGAAGTGCTGTGTCCCCATCATTAGTATAACCCTAGAGGTACACACGGTCTTCATGGAAACAGCCAATCAGTCTTGTAATAATGTTGCTCTTTGTTTACATACTTGCTGGTTTGTTTTGAGTCAGGGTTTCACTATGTAGCCCTGGCTGACCTGGAGCTCCCTTTGTAGAATAGACTGATCTGAAACTCCCAGAGACCCACCCACCTTTTCTCCAAGTTCTTCGATTAGAGGTATGAGGCCCGCCCCCATCCCAAAATCATTTTGTAAACATAGCTCTTTTTCTCAGAAAAACAAATTATTTACACTTATTCAAATGAATGCTAATGTTGGAAAAATTTTAAAGCCAAGGTCAACAGATATCGTCAAATGAGGCTTATAAAATAAAACCCAAACCCCTTATGTTTAGCCAAACAGGGTTAGCTTATGCCAGAAATCCCAGCATTTGGTAAGCTGAGGCTGGAGGAAGGCTGTGAATCTCAGGCCATTCTGTGTTACATAGTTAGTTCCATGCCAGCCTAAGCTTAAGAACTAGACCCTGTCTTAAAAAAATAATAAAAAATAAAATAGTAACAATAACAGGTTAGATATTCTGACTGTGAGAATGTTATGTTAAAACCAAATAGATGACATTTACAATGCTAAAGAATCTTGGAGATCATCCCTTCTGACCTTGAGAAGGCAAACCTCATACAAAGTTGAATACTGTATGACAGTCAGGGGGTACCACCCAAGGACAGCAAGAGTTGGGGAGAAGAGAAGTCAGGAGAGTGAGAGTCGGCAGGCTCCCACCAGAGAGCAAGTGAATGTGTGTTGAATCTTCTTTGCTGGGCACTGTCTGGGACTGTATATTCTACCAGTCTTCTTAACCCTCATACACTCACTGTAATAAATGTGCTTCAATTATCTCGGTTTATAAAATAGAGACTGAAATGCAGAGATTGAGCCTCTGCTTATGATCACTCAGCCAGGAGGAGCCTCGATGGGCTTAGAGCTGCTGTCTGCTCCTAGGCACTACATCTTCCCAAAGGAATCAGCCATAAATGGTTAACAGAAGACACATGATTTGGCCCATCCCCTCTAGGAGTCTGAAACATTGGGGAGCACATATACAAACTACATACCAATCAACTTTGAATAAAATCTGCTTTTAGGCAGAAATCCTTCCCTGAAAGTCATCTAATCACTAGTAGATGCAGGGAACAAACTTAAACAAACTTTTCCTTAAAACAAACTTTAAAATTGTATTCACCGGACATGGGATGCTTCTGTGTTTAAGAGAAACGTGTGTGTGGTGTGTGTGTGTGTGGTGTGTGTTGTGTGTGTGTGTGTGTGTGTGTGTGTGTGTGTTGTGTGTGTGTGTTGTGTGTGTGTTGTGTGTGTGT